AGATAGATAGATAGATAGATAGATAGATAGATAGATAGATAGAGAGAGAGAGAGAGAGAGAGAGAGAGAGAGAAAGAGAGAGAGAGAGAGAGAGAGAGAGAGAGAGAGAGAGAGAGAGTGCGAGTGATACACTTTGAGGTGATCGATCGATTTAAGTCTCTGGAAAAAGAAAATTAGAGCCATGGAACAGACTAAGTTTATTAGCGTTGGAACCTGTAGCAAATGTAATGATTACTGAAATTGGCATGGATGAAGAGGTGTAGATCCATCAAATGACAAGAATCATGATTTGACGCCGCTAACATCGAGTCTTTGGGCGACACTTGATTAGACTGGCGAGCAGTTTCATTACGTCCTGTTGATGGTTTACTTTTGGACAAAGCACTCCAGAAAGTAAAAATTGATCGTTTGTGTTTGTGTGAGTTTATGTGTGTGTGTGTGTGTGTGTGTCTGTCTGTCTGTGTGTATGTGTGATGTGTGTGTGTGTGTGTGCGCGCGTGTGTGGGTGGGTGTGGGTGTGGGTGGATGGGTGCGCGCGCGGAGAGAGAGAGAGAGAGAGAGAGAGAGAGAGAGAGAGAGAGAGAGAGAGAGAGAGAGAGAGAGAGAGAGAGAGAGAGACAATCAGAGGTGAGTGAGTACATGATATAGAGAGACTACATGCGTGATAAAACCGATTCACATAATATTCAATATATCCGCGCTGTCCCTGACCTTACCCCACCCTGTGGGATCGAAGGTCAGCACTATCCACACACTAGGGCTGGGCAATGAGTCGCTTTAAAGCAAAATCCGGATATGTTAGTGCACCTTTTCAGTAAATAATATGTTATGAACCGATTTCCTCAAATGGGTTAGAACCCCTTTGACAAACGGGTTAGCATAACTTCAACCAAATATGGTGCACCCACTACGGCAGGCGGGTCAGGAAAGAGAATTAAGAGTCTGAATCCGGATAATGTCTTATTGAGGATTACCCGATTATCCGGATATTTATCCTGATTTTGCCCACCTCTACCACACACCCGTCACCCCACCCCATCTTTCCAATGGCTTGTCCCAGAATAAGGACACGGGCAAAAGGAGCAATGAACTTCAAGAGGTGTCTACCGGTACCACTGTGCCGCAACTCTCATGGCATTTATTTGTAACATCGCAAAAAAGGGATAACCTATGAATCGGAGTTTGAGTTTGAGTACAGGGAAGCTTTAGTTTTAGTAAGAGTTTTACGGCACTTGCTACACAATAAGGTCATATAAGTGCCGAAGAATAAACGTGTCACAAGAGAGTAACATACACAAAAAAGAAGGAGGAGGGATCAGGACGATAGATGTTTGAAAAGAAAGAAGGAGCTAACAACACCAGAGCACCCGCCAACCACCCACGTAAAGAGAAGCGCATCGATATAATACTCGTCATACAGAGCAAGGAAGATCAGATGCAAATCAGACCGACAGAAGCAACAGAGAGAAAGAAAAGAAGTAGGATCTACGAATCGGAGTTGGAGTTTGAGTGAAGAGAAGAAAATCAATACAACAATACTGGTCATACTTACAGAGCAAGGAATATGCAAATCAGACAGACAGAAACAATAGAGAGAACGAAAAGAAGTTGGATCTACCGGTTGAGCCCTCCAACCACCCGCCCAACAAATTGGTCTCTTTTAAGGACAAGCGGGCGGGCTAACCCAGATTTCGGGGGTTTCCAGAAATCTTGAGTGAAGAGAAGAAAATCAATACAACAATACTGGTCATACTTACAGAGCAAGGAATATGCAAATCAGACAGACAGAAACAATAGAGAGAACGAAAAGAAGTTGGATCTACCGGTTGAGCCCTCCAACCACCCGCCCAACAAATTGGTCTCTTTTAAGGACAAGCGGGCGGGCTAACCCAGATTTCGGGGGTTTCCAGAAATCTTGACGTACATCAAAAGTGGGCATTGCCCGACGCATAGGAGAAGTTCGGTTTTACTGGTGTGTATATTTGTTTGGTTATAGAGAAAACTCTCCTTGTCTTTTAAAGAAACTGAACAAGGTGCAAAAACTTTATCTTTGATTTTCTCAAAACAGCATTATTCGGGATAGCCCCCATGGAGCATAAAAGCCTACAAGTTAACCCCCGTGTCCTGTTACAGGACTACAACAGCTGTCATGGCAATCATCATCATCATCCAGTGCCAGATCTGCGACAGACATCGGCGATCATGGTTCTCCATTCATTCCTTTGTTCGGATGCTAAAAAAAAAAGCTACGTTTCCCTGATCTTTCCTTGTTACCCATTTGTTTTGGTTCCCTAAGTATGTTGTTCTGGGCCTACCCTTGCCTCGTTTGCCCTCAATTTTGCCAGAGAGAGCTAGATGTTCAAGACCCTTATGTCTATTCAGGTGTCCCCAAAACTGCATTTGTCGTTTCCTGATTGTTTTTAACATTGAGCGCCCCACGTGGGCTTCGTCAAGCACTACCTCATTTGATTTCTTTTCTTTCCACGATACTTTTAGCCATGGCAATAATGCGAACAAAAACCTCAGAAAAAACCTTGGCTCCAAGAGTGGGGAATGCTTTCAAATCAAGAAGTGTCCCACCTTACATGATAAAACATTAGAATATTATGTCGATAGTCATGAAAATCAATCACCCCCCCCCAGCCCCTTCTCCCCACCATCGAAAAAATATGGCTTAAAAATAACTATTCGACAAACCTTTTGAATAGTAAGCAAAAGCAACATTTAGCTTTAGTAAGTGTTTTACGGCACTTGCAACACAATACGGTCATACACGTGCCGAAGATTAGGAGTGTTACAAGAGAGTAACAAACACAAAATAGAAGGAGGGGAGATAAAGACGATAGATGTTTGATAGGAGAGAAAAAGCAAACCACACTAGAGCACCTGCCAACCACCCACACAGCAACATTTAGTTTAGTTTAGCTTTAGCAAGACTTTCACGGCACCTGCAAAACACAAAGGCCATATTAAAGCCGAAGATTGGATCGAGAAATTGCTATAAGAGAATGATACCATACAAAGTGGCGTTAGTGGTTAGGCTACCGGACTCGTAATCGTGAGGTTGCGGGTTCGGGGGTTCGAATAACGAAGTTATTCATTTTTAAAAAGTGCCCCCCCCCCCCCACTTAAACCCCCCCCCCACACACACATAAATCAGCCGGTTTTTAAGCGTTGTCGAATGACCAGAATTAGAGATGAATTAAAACGTTTCCCTTCTCAATTAAATTGTTTTCCTCTTTACTCCCAGACGAGAAAGAATGGGAGAAGGTCCGCAGAACAGCGTTATCATGTAGGATACCAGACAGATACGGCACATAATATTATATCCTGAATTCGTGTTTAGGTCTACTTGGCATCCTGCCGCTGCCAAGAGATACTTGAAATAGGTCACGATCAAGGTGGAATATAGATCAGATAGAAATGGTACGGGGTACTGTAGCGTGACGTGATGTGACGTAGCGTGCAGCCACACAGTATGCTTTTAAATGGTCGCTTTTAAGCACAAGGGGGCCATCCCGAAAAATGCTGTTTTTAGAAAATCGAAGGTAAAGTTTTTGCCCCTTGTTCAGTTTCTAAAAAAAAACAACCAAGGAGAGTTTTCTCTATAACCAAACAATATATATACACCAATGACACCAAACTTCTCCTATACGTAGGGCAATGCCCACTTTTGGGGTAGGTCAAGATTTCTGGAAACCCCCGAAATCTGGGTAAGCCCGCTTGTCCTTAAAAGCGACCAAAATGTAGACACTGTAACATTAATCAAGAAGCGGAACAAGTAGAGGAAGTGAAGCAATTTGAAAACTTCGCAAAGAGCGAGCCCAAGTCCGAAAACATCCATTTGGAGACTTGTTTTAGTTTTAAAATAAGAGTTTTGCGGAACTTACAACACAATAAGGTCATATATAAATGCTGAAGAATAGATTATGTGTTACAAGAGAGTAACGTACACAAAAAAGAAGGAGGGGAGATAAAGACGACAGATGTTTGATAGGAAAGAAGGAGCAAACCACACCGGAGCACCCGAACAACCCACTTGGAGACTTGAACTAGGGACATTCATATCGTTGACTGGCGTAATACCCACTGGACGAATGGTACGCTTGAGAGCAAGAGGGTCAGCAAATGAATAATAAATGGTGAGGGAGGGGAAAAAAACCAAGAAAGAAGGAAGGTTAACCAATATCTCTCAACATCGCTCGATCACCAGGGGGATACAGGTATCCCGTGAACAAAATCTGATAGGGGAATACTTGTTAGTATCCTGTGAACAAAATCTCATAGGGGGATACCAGTTAACAAAATCTGATAGGGTGATACCAATATCCCGTGTGAGAAGGAGAGAGAGAGAGAGAGAAGGGGAGAGAGAGAAAAGGAGAGAGAGAAAGAGAGAGAGAGAGAGAGAGAGAGAGAGAGAGAGAGAGATGGAGAGAGAGAGAGAGAGAGAGAGAGAGAGAGAGAGAGAGAGAGAAGGAGAGAGAGGCAGGGAGTGACAGAGACAGAGAGATAGGGGGATGCCACCAGTTAGTATCCCGTAAACAAAATCTGATAGGACGCCCTCACCTGGAAGCGGTAGTACGTGTTGTCGTTCTTGACCGTGAGCACGTGATCGTCGATCGGGAAGAAGTAGCCGTGGGATGACATGAGGTGGGCCAGGTGTAGTGCTTCCACTGGGGACGACACGGAGCAGACGGGGTGTGCCGTTAATAATAATAATAATAATAATAATAATAATAATAATAATAATAATAATAATAATAATAACATCATCAAGACGATGATAAGCAAGAGTTTTACGGCACTTGCAACACAATAAGGTCAGTTTTAGTTTTAGTAAGTGTTTTACGGCGCTCGCAACTGCATAAGGTCATACAAGAGCCCAAGATCAGAGGTGTTACAAGAGAGTAACAATCACAAAAAAGAAAGAGAGGAGATTTGATTGGAAAGAAGAAGCAAACCACACCAGAGCACCCACCAACCACCCACAGACAGGGTGTGCCATTAATAATAATAATGATAAAAATAATAATGATATTAATAATAATAATAATAATAATAATAATAATAATAATAATAATAATAATAATAATAATAACATCATCATCGTCATTATCACAAAGATGATGATAATCAATAAAACAATAACCAGAGAAATTAAATCAACAATGCTTTGCGGATGACAACAATAGCAACAACAATAAGAGAGAGAAAGATATATATATATATATATATATATATATATATATATATATATATATATATATGACAATAACAATGACAATCTTTATTTATCTCGCAGGAAGACATTTTTCTTGGTCGTTAACAGTGGCTAGGTGCACTCAAGCATACGCACAAAAAGACAGGAGATTAGTAAATACCTGATGTCTCACGTGCTGGAACAACCCGCTCCGTAAAACATTCTCCCTCTCTCTCTCTCTCTCTCTCTCTCTCTCTCTCTCTCTCTCTCTCTCTCTCTCTCTCTCTCTCTCTCTCTCTCTCTCTCTCTGTGTGTGTGTCTGTCTGTCTGTCTGTCTGTCTGTCTGTCTGTCTGTCTGTCTGTCTCTCTCTCTCTCTGTTTCATTTGAAGCACTGTGTGTTCAGTAACCTCACTATACGCAGGAGCCCCATGATAGGTGCACAGAACCTGGCAAAGCAGATAGCTATAGGATTAGCAGCCGGCTGAGATAATGCTACCTGTTGCGATATATTCTTCTTTAGTTTTAGTAAGAGTTTTACGGCACTTGCAACACAATAAGGTCAGTTTTAGTTTTAGTAAGAGTTTTACGGCACTTGCAACACAATAAGGTCATTTAGTGCCGGAGATTAGAGGTGGTACAAGAGAGTAACAAACACAAAAAAGAAGGATGGGAAATAAAGACGATAGATGTTTGATAGGAAAGAGGAAGCAAACCACACAAGTGCACTTGAGAGCACTCGCCAACCACCCACGTTGCCATATATTCGCGCAACGCTCGCTTGCAAGATACACAAGAACACACAGCAAGTCGGAAGACATCTGCATCTAATTAACTAACTGCTCTCCTGAAAATTCCGCAGGTTTTTCTATCGAAAGCTCTTTTAAGAATTTCAGAATTTAAGTAAGGCGGGCTACCGGCTTCAATAAAATAGCTTCCCAATTCAATGGTCGAAAGAGTAACTTCTTTCACTGTCAAGCAAAAGAGGCCATTTTTTTTGGTAAGCGTTTTACGGCGCTCGCAACTGTATAAGGTCATATGAGCGCCCGAGACACATTTAACTTTTTCAGTTGGGAGGAAATTTTGATTTTTTCCCGGGTGGCGGCCGAAGCCTACTCTTATCGATTTTGGACCACCAAGGGATCTTTAACGTGCGCAACTTGCACACGGGCCCTCCCAGATTTTTCGCCCTTGTCCGAAAAGGCTAGATCTAGGTGTAGATCTTTCCTACCAGAAGATCAGGGGTGTAGCCGAAAGACAGCAGTAAGAAGGAGCCAAGGAGTAGATAAGCAGTAGAAAGGCTGTAGAAAGAGTCAGGAGCCCAGAGGAGGGGGTAAAAGAGGTCTGGGCCCATTACTATAGATCAAATGCGGCAAAAGTACAGTATACCTAGAGTGCATATTCGGGTTGGGGGTGGGGGTGGGGGGGGGTTGGGTCACGTGTTTGAGTGTATGGGTGTGCGCGCAGAGAGAGAGAGAGAGAGAGAGAGAGAGAGAGAAAGAGAGAGAGAGAGAGAGAGAGAGTGGGAAAGAGAGAGAGAAAGAGAGGGAGAGTGTGTGAAAGAGAGAGAGAGACAGAAACGTATATATATATAGAGAGAGAGAGAGAGAAAGAGAGAGAGAGAGAGAGAGAGAGAGAGAGAGAGAGCGAGACAGAGAGACAGAGAGAGACAGAAAGACAGAGAGAGAGAGACAGATAGAGAGAGAGAAAGAGAGAGAGAGAGAGAGAAAGAGAATGAGAGAGAGACTTTTTT